ACTCTGGTCCCAGCGTTGTTCCAGCTGTTTGATGTCTCAGGGCCTTCAGCCTGCTGGAGTGTCCTCTCTCTTCCTCCTCCAGACCCCCAGCTCAGGTGTGACCCAGCCCAGGGCGGCCTCTCTCTGCCTCCAGCTGGCTGGGTGGCTCTCTCCAGGGGGCTCCTACAGGCCTCCTTCCCGGTTCCCGACCAGTCAGGCCATGGCTTACTCCACCACCTGGCCCTCCTCCAGATCCAGGAGGCACCTCAGGCATTGGCGTCCTCAGCACCCAGCCAGGTCTGCTGACATCCAGGCGGCAACCACAGAGTGGAGTGACTTAGGGCGTGAATGAGTCGGTGCAGGGGTGGGTGAATGACTCATTGAAGGAGGGGGGTGCGAGCGAGTTGGGGGTGGTAAGCCATGGGGTGTGAAATGAGTGCACGGGTGAGTGCATGATGAATGGGCACATGAGCAAGCGAGGGAATGGGTGGAAGGGTGATGAACGAGTGGGCGGTGAAGGGATGAATGAGTGGGTGGGGGTGAATGAATGAATGAGCGGGTGGTTAGAGAATGAATGAATGAGCGGGCTGTAAACAAAAGAATGAAAGTGAGCAAGTGAATGACTGGGCGTGAACGTGTGGGAGAGTATTCGCGTGAGGTGGGAAGCGTTCGCGATCGCGGGACGTCAGGAGTGAGCAGTAAGTGAACAAATGTGGGAATGAATGGGCGGGAAGGTAAATGAGGACATGACTGAGGGAATGAATGAATGAGTGGGGACTGACTGGGGGAAGGAAGGGGCGGCAGGCGGCGGAAGCTCGGCCCGGGGCGCGGGCAGTTCACTTTCCTGGGCGGCCGCGTGGCTGGGGCGTGGCCTCGCGGCGCGGCCACGGCTGCTGGAGGCGTGGCCTCGCGGTAGAGCCGGGCGCGGCCTCCTAAGATTGGCTGCTGGGGGCGCGGCCTCGAGGATGGGGCGTGGCCTTTCGGCGCAGCGTGGCCCTGTGGCGGGGCAGAGGCTGGCAGGGCGTGGCCTCGCTGTAGAGCCGGGCGCGGCCGCCCGACACAGGCTGCTGGGAGCGCGGCCTCGAGGCCGGGGCGTGGCCTCGCGGCCCGGCGGGGCTGACGGGGGTGAGGCCCTGTGGCGAGCCTGGGGCGTGGCCGACGCCGGGGCGTGGCCTCGCGGCATGGCAGGAGTTGGAGGGGGCGTGGCCTTGGGGGAGAGGCCGAGGCTGGGGCGTGGCCTCGCGGAGCGGCGGGAGCTTGACGGGGCGTGGCCTCACTACAATGCCGGGGCTGAAGGGGGTGTGGCCTTATGAAGAGGCCGAGGCTGGGGCGTGGCCTCGCGAAGCCGCAGGAGCTGGCGTGGGCGTGGCCCTGTGGCGGGGCCGAGGCAGGGGCGTGGTCTCGCGGCGTGGCCGGGGCTGGAGGGTGCGTGGCCTTACGAAGAGGCCGAGGCTGGGGCGAGGCCTCGCGGCGCGCCCGGGGCTGGAGGGTGCGTGGCCCTGTGGCGGGGCCGAGGACGGGGCGTGGCCTCACGGAGCGGGCGGGGCTGGGGCGTGGTCTCGTGGCGGGCAGGCCCGCGGCGCGGAGGAAATCACGTGGGCGCGCGGGCTCACATGACTGGCCGTGCGATGGACCCGCTGCCTCCCGCGGCGGTCTCGGCGGCAGCTGAGTTGGAGGCTGACGGGGAGGCGGGTCCCCCAGCTGCAGGTACAGCTCGCGAGGCGGGCAGCGCCTTCCGCGGGGCGCCCTCCAGGGCCGGGGCGGGGCTCCGGGCCCTTCCCGCCACCGGGGCGTGGGGCGCCCCGCGCGGCGCCTGTCGCGCGGGGAGGCCCCCTCGCCCTCCCGGTGCCGGCGTCCTCCGCGTGATCCGCGGGGCGCTGGGCCGTGGGTTCGAGCCCCGGGTCCGCCCGGGGGACTTTACTCTTTAAGCGGAGCCAGCTGCTCTGCTGGGGCTCTTGCGGTTCTCTGCCGCTCGGCGTCTCGCCGGCGCCTGTCCGGCACCCAGCTCGGGGTCCCGGGGCCGGCAGCCCCTGGTCAGTGTCCGTCCCCGGCTGCAGAGGCGGCCTGTCGCCTAGCAGACCTTCCCAGGGTCTCGTGTCTGCTTCCAGCGAACTTTGGCGACTTCCTCCACCGCCTCGTCGTTTCAGAGCTTGGCCCCCTTCTTGGGGCTGTGGCCTGGGCCCAGTCACTTGACCCCGCAGGACTTCTGTTTTCTCCTCTGTTAACCGCAGTGCTGATGCCCAGCTTGGGTTGGTCCCTACAGCACTCTGGGTTGATGTGTAAGTACTAAAAGGAGTGGGCTCGCGTAGGCTTGTCCACAACAGCCCTCTTTCGAAGGCGCTGCCCGGTGACCTCATCACTGGAGAGTGGGTGCAGGTGGCTGTTGGAGTGGGTTACTCATTCTTCATGGAGGGTGGCGCAGTGCCTAAGGCATCTGACTGCCAGCCGGAAGGTTGGCGGTTCAAACCCACAAGCCACTCCGTGGAGGGAAGACTGGACAATCTACTTCAGTAAAGATTTATCACCTCGGAAACCCAATGGGGGTGGCTAGGGGTCGGAATGCGTTGGATGGCAGTGAGCTTGGTTTTCTGGTTTAGGTACAAGTGGCGGTTGCTGTGGGTTAATCATTCTTTATGGAGGGCACATGCTGGGGACTCTTACTTGCTCCTGATTGGCTTAATGGCTAGAAGGCCCCTGGGTGTCTCTGTGTGCCAACTGCTCCTCCCTCTGGGTGCCCTTTAGTTCTTTTCTCCTTCCATGGTCATCCGGGGACAGAGCGTGAGGAGGCAGCTGCCTGCCTGAGGCCATCCTGAGCTGGGCTCTGGAAAAGTCCCAGCTGCTGTTGGTTAGAATGTTGTGTTCATAGGTCACTGTTTTGAGGCTGGTGTGGGCCAGTTGGGAGCCCCAGTGGGGAAGTGGATTAAATCTGGGCTGCTAACCAAAAGGTCAGCATTTCTAACTCACCAGGTGCTCTGCAGGAGAAAGGTGAGGCAGTCTGCTTCATAAAGATGACAGCCTTGGAGACCCGTGGGGTGGTTCTTTGATGTCCTGTAGGGTCACTGTGACTTGGAGTGCACTTGACAGCAGTGGATTTGGATGTGGCTGTTGGTGGACCAGTCGGCTGGTGGGACATGGTGAGGATGGGAGGCTGTGGTGGTGCTGGGTGCCCCCCCACCCGCCTGTGAAACCATTCAGAGCCGCTGATGGCAGTGGCGGTTCAGGGCTCTCTGCGGGCACCCCACGTCTCCCACAGGACTAGCCCCTGCCCTTGTGGGGTGTGCTTTGCAGATAAGACAAGGCCTGCCCTCCCGTTTGGCACCTGGAGGTCTCACAGTAGTGGCCTTCCTGGGGCCATTCGATTGCATCTTAGTGCTAATGCCATCCATTGACATGTGGCACTTGACCCATGAGCACAGTCCCATTTACAGTCTTTGTGTATGTGGTGGGCCCCAAAATGTGGCTCATAGGCTCTTGGACGTGGCTTAAAGCCTTGTGACCATCCTGCCAGAGGTCAGTGGCCTAGCAGACCTTTTATACACTGAGAAAGTGGAAACCCAGAGGGAAGTGTTTGTCCAAACGGGGGCTTGGCCCCTTTCTCCCCGAGCAGGTGGAGCTCAGCTCCGCAGGGTTTTCCTGGCTGTAATCTCTGCAGGAGTCGTCCCTGGGTGGTGTCAGCAGTCAGGAGAGAGGCCTGGCAGCCGGCTTCTGCAGGATCATGGCCTTGAAAACACCCAGGAGCACGGTTATCCGCTGACACACGGGGTCGCCAGGAGCTGGAACCAGCGGCAACCAGCAAAAACGGCGGCACTCTTTATGGAAGCAGACCGCCAGGACGGGCTTCCCAGCACCGCTGTGTGGGTTCGAACCGTCCCCCTTTGGGTTAGCAGACGAGTGTGTAAATTGGAATTAGATGTTTGGTTTCATGGGAGCTCTGCATCATACAGTCTCTGGAATGAGGGCGAACCGGGCTGCTGCCGGTGGTTCCTGACATTCTGTGCATTGCATCCCTGAGCCCCGGGGCGGTCAGAACCCGGGCCGCCCTGCCCTCCGGGGGTCTGAGCCCGGCCAAGTGCCTGAGCTCTGTCATGTGCTCACCACCACCCCTTCCGCCTGGTTTCTTGTCCTTGTTGTTTCCTTTCCTGTCTGTGGGTATGTTCGTCAGAATTCACTGGGCTGTCTTTTAAGATGTATGCATTTTTCTGTGGTTAAATTATACCTCAAAATACTGCTAGCGTTAAGGGAAAAAAGCCCAACTTCCTGCCCATCTCTGCCCTTCGTGACACACGTTTGGACTGTGAGCGCCTGACGGGCAGAGATGGTGGGTTCTTCTCACATCCCAGCATCTGGAGCAACGTCTGCTGGGAGAAGGGTGCCAGTGTCGGAATAGAATCATGTTTTATTATAAGTTTAATTGTGATTTGGGCGAAGCTTACAGAGCAAATTGGCTTTCTGCTCACCAGTTCAGACACATTTTGTTGTGACACTGAATATGGTGCCCACAGTGTAACAGCTCTTCCCACTTCTTCCCTGAGGTTACTGTTTCCCTCCGTCCTTCTTTGCTGGCCCTTCCCACCGTCTGAGCTCTCTCTCCAGGCAAATGCTGCCCTTTGGGTCTTGCGTGGTTAGGACTGCGAACCTCCCTGGTGTTACATTCCCTTCATAGGCCTGTTGTTTGGCTGAAAATTGAACCATGGGGGAGAGTTTGGTTCCAGGCTCGAGGGGTGTCTAAGGGCCACGGGCTCGCGGGTGTTTTTTAGGATTTTGAGTTTTGTTCCACACGTTTCTCCCGCTCTATCCGGGATCTCCTATTGTAACCTCTTTCACAGCGGTTGGCAGCGGTAGCAGGGCACCGTCTGGTTCTGTGGGTCTCGATCCTGGAGGCTGGGCTTTGTGCAGCCCGGCACCATCTAATTCTTCGGGTCTCAGGGTCCTGGAGACCGGGGTTCCCATGGTGAGTGTGTTTTTTTAGAGATGGCATCAGGTTATGATTTGGAAGCAGTGGTGGTTGTGTGAACACGTTTTGAGTTTGTGTTGTTGGTCTCTACTTTCTGTCTCTCTCACACACACACACACACTCACACTCACACAATTTGCAAGGTAAAATGTGTCCATTTGAAGAAAGAGGAACTAACCGAGTCACTCTTACATGAAATAGATTTTGCCAGAATTTGTGGTCAGCACGAAAGTGGTGTGTTCTGCGGGGGTTATCCTGTTTTGTTCGGATTTTTTCCTTCTTAAGAAAACTGCAGCACAGAGGGGCCCTGTGCCCAGCGGGTTAGCTGGGGGGAGGGCGGGAGGGGAGTGGAGGGGGGTTTCGGAGGTTCAGGAACTTAGCTCCCACGGCCTGCCCTGTGCCGGAGGAGTCGGGTCATTCACAGCCGCAGGGCACGCAGGTAGGGGCAGGTAGGAGCGTTTTGTTCCAGGGGTGGGCGGAAGCAGGGCTCTTGATCACATTGTCCTGGGAGGACCGTCCCCTCCGAGGGGCTCTGGTGTTGGTGTTTTCATGCTGGGGGTGTTGTTATTTTGCCGTTGTTGTGGTTGGTGGTGTTTTGGACTCCTGGCGACCCTGTGTGAGCAGGAGTGCCCCGTGGAGTCTCCACGGCTGTCAGTCTTTATGGAAGCAGACTGCCTCATCCTTCTCTCTCGGAGCTGCTGGTGGCCTCGAACAGCTGACCTTTCAGTGAGCAGCCGAGTGCTTGACCGTCGTGCCACCAGGGCATCTTATTTGTTAAAAAAAAGCCCAGAAAACCAAACTCACTGCCATCACGTTGATTCCCACTCACAGCGACCCCCTTTAGGTTTCCGAGGTGGCATCACTACGGAAGCACATCACCCAGTCCTCCTTCTGCGGAGCGGCTGGTGGGTTTGAACCGCCAGCCTTCTGGTTAGCAATCAAATGCCTTAGGCGCTGTGCCACCAGTATTTGTTAGAGTTATTATTGATTTATATATTTTTTTTACAAAACTCCTAACTAGACCTCTGGGATAGAGTGTCTGGTGAACAGTGTTTGGGGGCAGATGCTGCTGTTAAAAGTACGTGGGATTTTTTTTTGTAGGATCTCTTTAGGTGGATCAGGAAGGGCTGAGGTGAGTGCGTTCTGCTAAGTTGAGGTCCAGGCGAACCGGACCCCAAGCTTTGTGCTGCTTTCTGGGTTTTAGTTACGTGCATTTCATTCCTTCTGGGTACCGAGGCCAGAGTGGAGCTGCCCCGTGGGGTCTGCAGGGTTGTCACCTCTCAGAAGCAGACTGCCACCTGTCTTCCGAGCTGTCCCTGGTGGGGCTCGAACCACCTCCCTTTCAGCCAGTAGCCGATCACTTAGCTGTTAGAGACACCCAGGAACCCCGCCTTTTGTTGTGTGTGTTGTGTGTAGGTAGTGGGTGTTTGTTTAGTTGTGTTCAGTGGTGGGTAGTCGGTGTTTGGGTGGGAGTCCATTGGAGTCTGTGTGCTAAGCACATTCAGGGTGAAAGTACATGAAGTTTGATTAATTGGAGGGAAACTCCTCTGGGGGGGTCGGGGAAATCTCTGACTGCCGGGCTGGGGCAGCAATGATGCAATTTTCCCCAGAATCTCCCACAGCTGGGTCGGTGCTGGTCAACTGTTGTCTGCCTGGGTTCTCGTGAGTAATCAGAGCCTGCGACGCTTTTCTTATTCCTTTTCTTGCTGTGGATGGATGGGTGGTTTGAGAAAATACAAACATTTTATAAATA